TTAAAACATATACGTCTAAAACTTCGCTTTAAATTAACCTTTGTGACTTTTAAAGTAATTATTCTTTATGTAATAAAGTTTAATATTATGTGTATTGATTTTTCTTACTACTTCACTTCATACATAATATAGGGGTTTGCTCCATAAAGACACCGATTGTATAGTGTACAAAGCATTGAGTATTTACATGTTTCAGCCATCTAATGTTCATCTATTATTGGCTAGTCATTGCTGTACTTGAACTTTTTAAGGGAACAACAGGTGTTTGTAATAAAACTAACTTCAAGGCATAATGATAACATCGTTTACACTAGAATTATGATGTTTTAACTTATGTAAAATATGAAAGAAATAAATAGATTTATTAAAACACCTACGACCTTCGCAATACCTTATTTAGTATTCTACAAAAGGTTTGGGTGCAATATAACAAGCAGTTTTTGTTGTAGGCTGGCAAGAGAATAATAATAAAAACAATAATTACAAACGGACCGTTTTGAGCGGATTTTCTTTTTTTTTTGTAATTCTAACATGCGTACATTTTTATGTGTACAGCCTTAGCAGTCAATATTAAAGGTCTTAAAGTGGTGTTTGAACTGAATCTTTACTGCTGAAGGTGCATTTTGCCCGAACATCCTTTTAGGGTTTTGTGCAATTCCTATTATGAACCACTATCGTGGTTCATGATAACATATTGTGATCTCCATTCAAAATATTGATACCGTGATACGTGGCGAACTTCATCAAAGTAGGCCTAAGCATATTGAATTATTACACAGGCTCACAAGAAAGCGATCCACCCACCCCTCTCCTCAACGTTAGGAAACATTAGCTAAATGTCCATCTTAAAGGTCAAAATTATTTTCTTCGTAGCTATAAAGCAAATTAAGGTTTAAAAATAGCCATATATTATATTAATAAAATTTAAAATACATACGTTTCTCCATTTCTGTTAATTAAACATTGTTGCATTTTTATTTGAAAAACAGTCCCTACACTCTACATTGCACGTGCTGGCATCTTGTGTTTCCTTTTCGCAGCATTTATCTATTTTACACCATTGCAGATTTTTCGAATGGGCTACAATTTCATTTATATAAAAATGGGTCTAAAGAACAAAACCCAACAACTACAAGTTAACTTACCACAAAGAAGCCTTTTTTGTTACTGTTTGTATACTTCACGATATAGCTGTTTTTAAATATTGGGTAGAAAAATTTTACTAACGTGTATTAAAAAGTGTTTACTTCTGTATAAACTACAAAAGCATTACTATACGGTTTTCCTCATAGTCTATCCCTACAAGCCCCCACCCCCAAAGAGCCTCAGCGATAAGTCTAATGTCTTATAACGATCACAAGTAAGTACAAGTTAATAAAATATCCTCTATCTAAGAAAACTGACTTAAAAAACAGAAAAACACGGAACTTTATCTTAACGAAATCAATAAAATGGCAGACTTGAATAAATATAATGTAAACGCAAGTTGCAGTTAAACAGCGTTAGTCTTCTTTTTGTGTACTCAAAATTGGTTAAATAACTTTCGAAAAGAGAGATGAAAATTTTATTGCGTGTATAGGGTTTTAGAATAATAAATTATTTTTTTAAGAATTATAATAAATAATTAAAAACAACGTTTTATATTTACACGATAAAAACTTTATTGAAGCCGTTCGGCTCCCACTTTAAAATAGAAATATCACTCTACACGCACATATTTCGACGTGATCTAAGTGTGTAAATATAAAAC